CTGCCGCCTCCTACTCCGCCCCCTCCTCCTCGCATCACCTCCTCCTCATTATCATCAGAATCCTTATCCTCATCCTGCTCCGCCTCCTCTTCCTCGCTTCAACTTCTCCTCCTCATCCTCCACCTCATCCTGATCCTCCTCCTCCTCTTCCCCCTCGTCCTCATCATCCTCACCATCATCATCGCAGTCAGCATCACCAGCATCAGCACCATCATCACCAGCATTACCACAAACACCATCTTGTTATTCGTCATCATCACTATCATCATCATCATCACCATATCATCTTCATCAGCATCATCGTCATCATCATGATCATGATCATCATCATCATCATCATCATCAGCATCATCATCAGCATCAGCATCGTCATCAGTATCAGAATCATCATCATCATCATAACCATCAGCATCATAATCAGAACTATCCTCATGATCATCATCACCACCATCATCATCGTAGTCATCATAACCACCATCAGCATCAGCATCGTAATCATCTCCATCGTCGCCATCGCCATCCCCATCATTACCATCATCATCGTCATCCTCATCATCATTATCAGCAGCAGCATCATCAGTAGCATCATCATCATCATCATCATCATCATCATCGTCATCATCATCATCATCAGTATCAGCATCATCATCGTAGTCATCATCATCATCATCATCATCATCATCATTGTCATCAGCATCATCATCAACATCATCATCATCATCATCATCAGCATCATCATCATCATAATCATCATCATCATCATCATCAGCATCATCATCATCATGATCATCATCATCATCATCATCATCATCATCATCATCATCATCATCATCATCATTATCAGCATCATCGTCATCATCATCCTCATCATCCTCATCCTCATGATCATAATCATTATCATCAGCGTAGTTGCCAGCGTCGTCATCATCACCATCATCGTCATCATCCTCATCTTCACCATCATCACCATCATCATGACCATCATCATCATCATCAGAATCATCAGAATCATCATCAGAATCATCATCAGGTTGCCCTTCCTCCTCCTCCTCCTCCCTCCCCTCCTCCTCCTCCTCCTCCTCCTCGTCGTCCTCCTCCTCCTCCTCCTCCTCCTCCTCCTCCTCCTCCTCCTCCTCCTCCTCCTCCTCCTCCTCCTCCCCCCTCCTTCACCCTCCGTATCATCTCCCTGGCCTCCCTCCTCCCTCCCTCCTCCATCCCTCCTCCTCCAAGAGGAAAAGGGTAGACTCCAGGGCTGACGCCAGTCTCTCAGCACGGTGGACGCCCGTGCGGACAGGCGGAGAGAAGGAATGCACGTTAGGGCTGCAAGTCTGGGGTGCATCATCATCGTCGTCGTCATCATCGTCATCACCATCACCACCACAACCACCACAACCACCACCATCATCATCATCATCATCATCATCATCATCATCATCATCATCATCATCATCATCATGGCCATCAGCATCATCATCATCATCATCATCAGCAGCAGCAGCATCATCAGCATCATCATCATCATCACCATCATCATCATCATCATCATCATCGTCATCATCATCATCATGATCATCATCATCATCATAATCATGATCATCATCATCATTAGCAACAGCCTGAGCATCAGCATCAGCATCATCATCATCAGCATCTTCATCACCAGTATCAAAATCATAATCATCATCATCGTCATCATCATCATCATCATCGTCATCCTCATCATCATCATCATCATCATCATCATCCGCATCATCACCGTCATCATCATCGTCATCATCATCAGCATCATCATCAGCAGCACCATCATCATAAACATCAACAGCATCATCAGCATCATCATCACAACCATCACAACCATCACCATCACCATCATCACCATCATCAACAGCATCATCATCATCATCATCATCATCATCATCATCAGCATCATCATCATAGTCATCGTCATCATGAGCTTCATTATCATCATCATCTCCAGCATCACCATCATCATAATCAGCATCATCAGCAACATTGTCATCGTCATCGTCCTCGTCATCATCATCATAATCATCAGCAGCAGCAGCAGCATCATCCTCTTCCTCATCCTCATCCAAATTATCATTATCACCATCGTCATCATCATCATCATCATCAGCAGCAGCAGCATCATCATCAGCATCATCAGCATTGTCATTGTTATCATCCACATACAGTGAGCAGCATCAACATCATCATGAGCATCAGTAGCAGCATCATCATCATCATCATCAGCATCAGAATCAGCATCATCATCAGCAGCAGCATCATCATCCGTACACTCATCAGCATCAGCATCATGATCATCATCATCATCATCGTCATCACCGTGGTCTTCATCAGCAGCATCGTGATCATCATCAGCATTGTCATTATCATCATCATCATCATCATCATCATCATCATCATGATCCTCATCATCATCGTCGCCATCATCATCAGCATCACCATCAGCATCAGCATCATCCTCATCCTCATCCCCAACATCATCATCCTCCTCATCCTCATCCTCCTCCTTCTCCTCCTCATCCTCCTCCTCATCAGCATCATCATGATGAAATCATCATCAGCATCATCATCATCAGCATCATCATCAGCAGCAGCATCATCATCATCCACATCATCATCATATCATCATCTTCCTGGACTTCGGCCCCCGGGGCCCGTCATCGGGCCCCCACACGGCCACCAAAAACGGACCCGGGGCGCAGAGCTGCCCCCGTCAAGAGGGTCGGGAGCTCTGGGGCCGCAGGTGGAACAACAAGCACAAAAAATCCTCAGGAGGATGCCGGGGTCTGAGGTGGGGCCCCGAGTGACGAAGCCACAAGTCGGGGAGACGTGAGACTCGGGTGCGGGGGACTCGGGTGGGCCTGCCAGGGCCATCACGAAAATGACGAGACCCAAACCTGAAACTTGACGCGAGCTCCCGCTGCATACGTCCCGCGAAAACAGGACCGTCAAAATCCAGGACGCGCTCGTCAAAAAATACGTCGGCTGACCCGAGTTCCGGCTCACTCGAGTTTCACGTTCCCCCCGACAAAGAACGCACGCGCCCAGCCACGTACACGAGCACGGCCCTCCAGTCCGCGAGGCCAGCCTCGTGAGTTACGAACGCTCGCGTCATGTGTACTGTCGAAACCGGCCGGGATTCATGTGCATGCGTCGCCGCGCCGTTTGTTGTCGACGCGCCCACGTGGACTGACTACCTACCAGACCACCCCAACCCAACCCGAAGACCCGAATTTCGGGTTGGGGGGGGGGGTAAGGGTTCCACATGTGTGGTTTCGACGTTCCCCGACCCCCCCCCCCCACTGGAAATCGAAGGTAGATTTGAGCCTTCGGGTTGGGTTGGGGTGGTTTGGTGGGTGTTTTTTTTGTTTACCCCTCACGTCGACCACGGCGGCTGGATGCCTCGACAACTTCGCATGGCCACTGCCCCCGGACATGGAGGGAAGCCGGGCTGCGTGGGCAGCCGACCACCAAAGAATACGGAGACGCTATCATGCACGTGGCAGGGACAGCGAAAGAGCACCCGTGACAAGTATTGCCCGGGGTGGTTTGGTGGGTGGTGAACCACGGCAAACCCACGGCAAGCCCTGCGCCCCGCGCCACAGCCGACGACGCCGGCGCCGCGGCAGACCCCCCCGGCAGGCCCGCCGCGCCCGAGGCGGCGCTCGCCCCGGTGCCGGCGGCGCCCTCCCCGAGACGCAAGGCGCCGCGCGTCGGAACAGACGGCGCGGCGACGTGTACGTCCTTCTTTCGCTCCCGGCCGAGGACGGGGGGCCCCCTCCTCCTCCTCCTCCTCCTCCTCCTCCTCCTCCTCCTCCTCCCCCTCCCCCTCCTCCTCCTCCTCCTCCTCCTCCTCCTCCTCCTCCTCCTCCTCCTCCTCCTCCCTCCTCCTGCCTCCTCCTCCTCCTCCTCCTCCTCCTCCTCCTCCTCCTCCTCCTCCTCCCGCTCCTCCCGCTCCTCCTTCTCATCCCGGGGCCGTGAGGACGAATTGGGGCCCAGCCCGGCCTCGAGGCGAGGCGGCCCGCGAGGGCCCCGAGACCGCCCACGAGCAGGAGGGCCCCGAGGCGGCCGGTGACCGCTCTGCGAGGGCAGCAAGGCGGCCCCGAGAGGTCCCCACGGCGGCCTCCCCGGGGGCCCAACCCCTGGGGGCCCCACTAGTAATATGTCGGGCGTGTCCCCCTACATGGGGATTTTCGACGAAAAAAAAAGCCCGAAAAGTACCCCAAAAAGGTCAAACATACCCCAAAAATAGTCCCCTGACTATTTTTGGACTATGTTTTGACTATTCTTGGGGTATTTCTTATTTTTCGTCGAAAATCCCCCTGTAGGGGGACAGGCCCGCCTTAACATTAGTAGGCAACTACTGGGAGGTTTTGGTCGGATGGATTAAGGAGGATGAAGCCCCATTGGGGGGCTGTTACGCAAGAGTGGGCCTCGGAGCAGGCGGGATGAAGCCGGATTGAGCGGGATTAAGCGGCATTAAGCCGGCTTAAGCGGGAGTAAGCCGGATTAGGCCAGACTTCGGACCAGGGCAAAATCAGAATTTGACCTCCGAGGAGTTGCATCCGAAGCCCCAGGGGCGAGGAGGGGCCGGGGACTCCGTCCTCGCCATCGCTCGGACGTCCATTCCCCGTGCACGTTTCGGTCTCGCGCGCGTGCGTTTCATCGAGGATCGAGGATGCTCCCCGATGATCCCCGCCGAGAAAGAGAGAGAGAGAGAGAGAGAGAGTGAGAGAGAGAGAGAGAACAAACAAAAAAACAACCAAAACAAACAAAACAAAGCAACAACAAAACACGCCCGAGCGCTGCCAAGCTCCTGTCCCTGCGGGGACGCCCACCCCTCAAAACCCCAGCTTCGAGCCGCCCCCCGGGGCAGGGAGGGGGGGCGGGGCCGCGGCGGCCGCGCCAGGGACGCGCGCGGGGGGCAGGAGCAGGAGGAGGAGGAGGAGGAGGAGGAGGAGGAGGCGGGGGGCCTCCAGGTGGCCCAGCTGCTCCAGCGCGCTTTGCCACCTCCGTCTCGCGGGCGGCCGCCAGGGGGGGGGAAGGAGGAGGAGGAAGAGGAGGAGGACGAGGAGGAAGAGGACAGGCGGGCGGGCTGGCGGCGAGCGGCCGCGCGGCAGCAGCAGGACGGCGGCGAGCGCAGAGAGCAGGAGCAGGAGCAGGAGGAGGAGGAGCAGGAGGAGCAGGAGGAGCAGGAGCAGGAGCAGGAGGAGGAGGAGGAGGAGGAGGAGGAGGAGGAGGAGGAGGACGGGAGGAGTGGGAGGAGTGGGAGGAGGAAGAACGGAGGAAGACGAGGAGAAAGGAGGGGGCGGAGGACGATGACTGGACGAGGGCGAGGAGGGAGGGGAAAAGGGAGAGGGGGGAGAAGGGGGGGGAGAGGAAGAGAGAAGCAGGATAAGGAGAAGGAGGAGGAGGAGGAGGAAGAGGAGAAGCAGAAAGAGTGGGAGGAGGACGGCAACGAGAAGGACAAAGAGGACGAAGAGGACAAGGGCCAGGAGGAGGAAGGGCGAGGAGGAAGAGGAAGAGGAGTAGGAAGGCAGGACGGGGACGGGAGAGAAAGGGATGAGGAGTAAGAGACGGACGAAGACGAGGATACAAGGACGACGGATAGAGGGAGGGGGAAGAAGATAATGAGCACTAATGAGGATTCGCGGGATGGCAAAGAGTCATAGGATCAAGAGATTAAGGAAGGAGAAGGGATGAGGAGGAGGAAGAGGAGGAGGGATGAAGAGGGAGGAGGACGGAGGATGCGGATTAGAAGAGAGCAGAAGGGGCATGAGTAGCGAGAGCGGAGGGGGACGAGGATAGGAGATACAGAGAGCTGGAGGAGCTGGAGGATAAGGGGGAAGAAGGGGAGGAGAAACAACGACCGCAGAACTGCTCCGCTTGCAGCGGGCGCCGCGAGGAAGCCCCCAGCGGTGCGGTGTCCCGGGGCTCCAGGCCCGGCGCGGCCCGATGGCGGGGGCCGGCCGGGTTGTAATGCCCCGGGGCGGCGCCTGTGTGGCCCACGCGCCTTCTTCTCTCGGCCTCCATGGGCACGCCTTCGCCCAGAAGCCGTTGCAGGGTGGGCAGGTCGCCAACGACGACGGGGACGACCACGACGAGGACGAGGACGAGGACGAGGACGCGGCGGAAGACGACGAGGAACAGAACGAGACGCAGGAGCAGCCGAGTGCAAAGAGACCCCCGCGCACGAAACCACATGCAGCGGGCGCCGCGCGGTGCCGATCACGCGGAAGCCCCCAGCGGTGTCCCGGGGCTCCAAGCCCGGCGCGGCCCGATGGCGGGGGCCGGCCGGGTTGTAATGCCCCGGGGCGGCGCCTGTGTGGCCCACGCGCCTTCTTCTCTCGGCCTCCATGGGCACGCCTTCGCCCAGAAGCCGTTGCAGGGTGGGCAGGTCGCCAACGACGACGGGGACGACCACGACGAGGGCGAGGACGAGGACGAGGACGCGGCGGAAGAGGACGAGAAGCAGAACGAGACGCAGCCGAGTGCAAAGAGACCCACCGCGCACGAACCCACATGCAGCGGGCGCCGCGCGGTGCCGATCGCGCGGAAGCCCCCAGCGGTGTCCCGGGGCTCCAGGCCCGGCGCGGCCCGATGGCGGGGGCCGGCCGGGTTGTAATGCCCCGGGGCGGCGCCTGTGTGGCCCACGCGCCTTCTTCTCTCGGCCTCCATGGGCACGCCTTCGCCCAGAAGCCGTTGCAGGGTGGGCAGGTCGCCAACGACGACGGGGACGACCACGACGAGGACGAGGACGAGGACGAGGACGCGGCGGAAGACGACGAGGAACAGAACGAGACGCAGGAGCAGCCGAGTGCAAAGAGACCCCCGCGCACGAACCCACATGCAGCGGGCGCCGCGCGGTGCCGATCACGCGGAAGCCCCCAGCGGTGTCCCGGGGCTCCAGGCCCGGCGCGGCCCGATGGCGGGGGCCGGCCGGGTTGTAATGCCCCGGGGCGGCGCCTGTGTGGCCCACGCGCCTTTTCTCTCGGCCTCCATGGGCACGCCTCGCCCAGAAAGCTTGCAGGGTGGGCAGGTCGCCAACGACGACGGGGACGACCACGACGAGGACGAGAGAGACGCGGCGGAGAGGACGAGAAGCAGAACGAGACGCAGGAGCAGCCGAGTGCAAAGAGACCCTCCGCGCACGAACCCACATGCAGCGGGCGCCGCCGGTGCCGATCGCGCGGCCCCCGCGGTTGTCCCCGGCTCCAGGCCCGGCGCCGGCCCGATGGCGGGGGCCGGCCGGGTTGTAATGCCCCGGGGCGGCGCCTGTGTGGCCCACGCGCCCTCTCTCGGCCTCCATGGGCACGCCTTCGCCCAGAAGCCGTTGCAGGGTGGGCAGGTCGCCAACGACGACGGGGACGACCACGACGAGGGCGAGGACGAGGACGAGGACGCGGCGGAAGACGACGAGAAGCAAAACGAGACGCAGGAGCAGCCGAGTGCAAAGAGACCCACCGCGCACGAACCCACATGCAGCGGGCGCCGCGCGGTGCCGATCGCGCGGAAGCCCCCAGCGGTGTCCCGCGGCTCCAGGCCCGGCGCGGCCCGATGGCGGGGGCCGGCCGGGTTGTAATGCCCGGGGCGGCGCCTGTGTGGCCCCACGCGCCCTCTCTCGGCCTCCATGGGCACGCCTTCGCCCAGAAGCCGTTGCAGGGTGGGCAGGTCGCCAACGACGACGGGGACGACCACGACGAGGGCGAGGACGAGGACGAGGACGCGGCGGAAGAGGACGAGGAAGCAGAACGAGACGCAGGAGCAGCCGAGTGCAAAGAGACCACCGCGCACGAACCCACATGCAGCGGGCGCCGCGCGGTGCCGATCGCGCGGAAGCCCCCAGCGGTGTCCCGGGGCTCCAGGCCCGGCGCGGCCCGATGGCGGGGGCCGGCCGGGTTGTAATGCCCCGGGGCGGCGCCTGTGTGGCCCACGCGCCTTCTTCTCTCGGCCTCCATGGGCACGCCTTCGCCCAGAAGCCGTTGCAGGGTGGGCAGGTCGCCAACGACGACGGGGACGACCACGACGAGGACGAGGGCGAGGACGAGGACGCGGCGGAAGAGGACGAGGAACAGAACGAGACGCAGGAGCAGCCGAGTGCAAAGAGACCCCCGCGCACGAACCCACATGCAGCGGGCGCCGCGCGGTGCCGATCGCGCGGAAGCCCCCAGCGGTGTCCCGGGGCTCCAGGCCCGGCGCGGCCCGATGGCGGGGGCCGGCCGGGTTGTAATGCCCCGGGGCGGCGCCTGTGTGGCCCACGCGCCTTCTTCTCTCGGCCTCCATGGGCACGCCTTCGCCCAGAAGACGTTGCAGGATGGGCAGGTCGCCAACGACGACGGGGACGACCACGACGAGGGCGAGGACGAGGACGCGGCGGAAGAGGACGAGGAACAGAACGAGACGCAGGAGCAGCCGAGTGCAAAGAGACCCACCGCGCACGAACCCACATGCAGCGGGCGCCGCGCGGTGCCGATCGCGCGGAAGCCCCCAGCGGTGTCCCGGGGCTCCAGGCCCGGCGCGGCCCGATGGCGGGGGCCGGCCGGGTTGTAATGCCCCGGGGCGGCGCCTGTGTGGCCCACGCGCCTTCCTCTCTCGGCCTCCATGGGCACGCCTTCGCCCAGAAGCCGTTGCAGGGTGGGCAGGTCGCCAACGACGACGGGGACGACCACGACGAGGACGAGGACGAGGACGAGGACGCGGCGGAAGACGACGAGGAACAGAACGAGACGCAGGAGCAGCCGAGTGCAAAGAGACCCCCGCGCACGAACCCACATGCAGCGGTGTAATGCCCCGGGGCGGCACGCGCCCTCTCTCGGCCTCCATGGGCACGCCTTCGCCCAGAAGCCGTTGCAGGGTGGGCAGGTCGCCAACGACGACGGGGACGACCACGACGAGGACGAGGACGAGGACGAGGACGCGGCGGAAGAGGACGAGGAACAGAACGAGACGCAGGAGCAGCCGAGTGCAAAGAGACCCCGCGCACGAACCCACATGCAGCGGGCGCCGCGCGGTGCCGATCGCGCGGAAGCCCCCAGCGGTGTCCCGGGGCTCCAGGCCCGGCGCGGCCCGATGGCGGGGGCGCATGCCGATCGCGCGGAAGCCCCCAGCGGTGTCCCGGGGCTCCAGGCCCGGCGCGGCCCGATGGCGGGGGCCGGCCGGGTTGTAATGCCCCGGGGCGGCGCCTGTGTGGCCCACGCGCCTTCTTCTCTCGGCCTCCATGGGCACGCCTTCGCCCAGAAGCCGTTGCAGGGTGGGCAGGTCGCCAACGACGACGGGGACGACCACGACGAGGACGCGGACGAGACGAGGACGCGGCGGAAGACGACGAGGAACAGAACGAGACGCAGGAGCAGCCGAGTGCAAAGAGACCCACCGCGCACGAACCCACATGCAGCGGGCGCCGCGCGGTGCCGATCGCGCGGAAGCCCCCAGCGGTGTCCCGGGGCTCCAGGCCCGGCGCGGCCCGATGGCGGGGGCCGGCCGGGTTGTAATGCCCCGGGGCGGCGCCTGTGTGGCCCACGCGCCTTCTTCTCTCGGCCTCCATGGGCACGCCTTCGCCCAGAAGCCGTTGCAGGGTGGGCAGGTCGCCAACGACGACGGGGACGACCACGACGAGGACGAGGACGAGGACGAGGACGCGGCGGAAGAGGACGAGAAGCAGAACGAGACGCAGGAGCAGCCGAGTGCAAAGAGACCCACCGCGCACGAACCCACATGCAGCGGGCGCCGCGCGGTGCCGATCGCGCGGAAGCCCCCAGCGGTGTCCCGGGGCTCCAGGCCCGGCGCGGCCCGATGGCGGGGGCCGGCCGGGTTGTAATGCCCCGGGGCGGCGCCTGTGTGGCCCACGCGCCTTCTTCTCTCGGCCTCCATGGGCACGCCTTCGCCCGGAAGCCGTTGCAGGGTGGGCGAGGAGGCGGGGGCCACACGGCAGTGTGAGCGCATCGGGCAGGAGGAGAAGGGCGGCGGTAAGGTAAGGGCGCTTGGGGGCGTATCCCAGGCAAGCCAACGATGAGCCACTACCTGGAGCAGCTCAGCTGCGGGGCAACGCTCGGGGGAGACGGGCTCAGAGGGGAGCATCGACGTGGAATCGGCGAGACCTTGTCGACAGCTCGACGACAGGCCCCCGACAGCGAGTCCGCACGTTCCTGGGCGGGGTAGGTTTATCGGACCCCTGTCGGCGATGAGTGGGCGACTGGTCGATGCCTTCCTCCCTGAGCCTGTCCCCCCCCCCTAACACGTGCCCCTTGCTTTTCGGATCATGCCTCGCCTCTCCGGCGGCCGTGCGGATGATCCCGGCACCCCCGGAACGCTCTCGACGAGACGCAGCCAGTGGAAACCACCCACCTCGGGTCTCGGAAACTGTCGAAGCACTTCGGAGCCCTTGCCAAAACACACACACACACACGCACACACACACACACACACCCGCACACACACACACACACACACACACGCACACACACCTGAATCTATCCCACCCTAACGCTGTCCCTGAGATGAGCCGCCACCCGGAGCACCTCAGGGCCCCTGCCAGTGAGACACGAACCCTCCGTGGCCTCGGAGAACGCCCAGAGAGGCTCTCAAAGGCCAGAGGCCTTCTCGGACTTCTTGAAAAGGCCCGCCCCCTCTGCCTTTCCCCCGTGTGCGCGCCGATGGCACGATGAGACACCTGCAGCAGCTCAGGGCCCCTGCTGGGTGAGCGACGATCAGAAGCGGGCCCTGCGCGAGATCACACAGCGACCTTGCGCGGTGGCTTGCGCGGGCCGTCAGCGCGACGCGACACACTGGGAACGAGTTCGCTTGCGCGCGACCTTACGCGGGAGCTCACGCGCATATGTCCACGGGACAATATCATACATGTTACGTCCTTGTACTGACCATGTCGGTGGTCGCTTCATAGGAGAAGGAGGAGGACAGGGCGGAGGAGAAGGAGAAGGAGAAGGAGGAGGAGGAGGAGGAGGAGGAGGAGGAGGAGGCGGAAGAGGAGGCCTCCTTCCTTGCCCCCTCGGGGCCCGCCGTTGGCCCCGCTCGCAAGCCGTGATGGTGGCGTTGTGGGTCGTCAGGCTGGGTACCACGCGCCTCGTGGGGAACTCCGCGCGCAGCGCCAGCGCCAGCGCCCACTGCTCTCCTTCGGGCGGCCCGTCCTCCTCATCCTCCTCCTCCTCCTCCTCATCCTCCTCCTCCTCCTCCTCCTCCTCCCTCCTCCTCCTCCTCCTCCTCCTCCTCCTCCGCCTCCTCCTCATCCTTCTCCTCCTCCTCCTCCTCCTCCTCCTCCTCCTCCTCCTCCTCCTCCTCCTCCTCCTCCTCCCTCCATCCCTCGCTCCCTCCATCCCTCGCTCCCTCCCTCCCTCCCTCCCTCCCTCCCTCCCGCCCGCCCTCCCTCCCCTCCCCCTCCCTCCAGCAGGAGGAGAGGCCGCCTCTTGTGCAGGCGCTCATGGCGGAGTTCAGCGTGACGGCGTCCGGCGCCAGCCTCCTCAGGGGCAGTACGCCCAGCGTCGAGATCGCTCTCGCCCACTGCCTGGGACGGTGGACAGCCTCGTCATCGACGTCGTCGTCGTCGCCGACGCTGTCGTCGTCGTCATTGACGTCGTTGTCGTCGTTATCGACATCGCCGTCATCGACGTCGTTGTCGTCGGTGTCGGGCGTCGCCGCCGCCGCTACCGTCGTCGCCGTGGTCGTCATCGTCGTTGTGGTTGTCGTCGTCGCTGTCGCCGCCGCGGCCGCCGTCCCCCTTCTCTCTACTGTTCCTCCCTGGACCACCTCCGTCAACTCCAGCTCCTCTCCTCCTCCTCCTCCTTCTCCTTCTCCTCTTCCTCCTTATCCTCCTCCTCCTCCTCCTCCTCCTCCTCCTCTTCTACATCCTCTTCCTCCTCTCACCATCACCTCCACGAGCACCAGCATTATCACCACCGTCTTCCTTCTGCTGCGACTGCTCCACCTCCTGCTCTCTCATCCTGTTATCTTCTTCCTCCCTCTTCACCTCCTCGTCCTCCTCTTGCCTGCTGTATTATCAGATTCCTCGTGCCCCTCCTCTCCATCATCATGATCAGAAGCATCATCGCATAAGCGTGTTCATCGTAATCAACAGCATCATCATCGTGTCCGTGGCCACCATCGTCATCCAACGACCGCCATCGCAATCGTATTCACTAACGCCGCCATCGTCATCGGACTCATCGTCATCAGCGACATCAGCATCAGCATCGTCATCATGCGCATCATCATCATCATCATCATCATCATCATCATCATCATCCTCATCATCATCAGCATCTTCATCAACATCATCATCATCATCATCATCATCATCATCATCATCATCATCATCATCATCATCATCATTAACAACATCAACATCATCATCGTCATCATCAGCATCATCATCAGCATCATCGCCATCATCATCGTCATCCCCATCATCATCAGCGTCATCATGCTCGTCATCAGCATCATCATCAGAATCAGCATCATCGTCATCATCAGCATCGTCATCGTCATCATGATCCTCATAATCATCATCATCATCAGCAGCAGCAGCAGCATCGTCATCAGCATCAGCATAATCATTATCAGCATCATCATCATCAGCAGCAGCATCAGCATCATCGTCATCAGCATCGCCATCATCAGCATAATCATTGCCCTCATCATCATCAGCAGCATCGACATCATCATCAGCATCAGCATCATCGTCAACAGCATCATCATCATCAGCATCATCAGCATCATCAGCAGCATCGTCATCAGCATCATCATCGTCATCATCCACGGCAGCATCATCATAATCACCAACATCCTCATAACAATCCTCATCATTATCCTCATCCTCGTCATCAGAATCATCAGCATCATCATCATCATCATCTTCATCATCGTCATCATCGGCATCAGCATGATCACCATCACCATCGTCAATACAATCATCATCCTCAGCATCATCATTGTCGCCGTTTGAAGTATCATCACCATCATCATCATCATCACCATCACCATCGCCATCACGATCACCACCATCACGATCACCACCATCATATGCCCACGTCGCATCCTTCTACTCTTCATCCGCATCCGCCTCCTGCTGATCCCTCCTTCACCCTGGATCCATACCTCTCCGTTCCCTCCCTCCAGCCTTGCTCCTGTGCGCTCTCCCTGCCCCCCCCATGCTTCCCCACATCCATCCCTTCTCCGCCTCACCTCAGCCTTCCTCATCCTCTCCATCATCACCCCTCCTCATCCTCCCTATCCTGCTCTTCCTACTCCTCCTCAAACTCCTCCCTACCAGGTCCAACATCCCCATCATCGTCATCATCACCACCAACATTATCGTAGTCATCGTCACGTGCGTCATCATCAACATCATCGTCGTCCTCCCCCATGTTCGTCCCCAATCGGCGCCCACGCCCGGCTCATCCCACTCGTGGTGCTCGTCCTCCTCCCCTTCCTCATCCCGCAGCATTCTTCCCTCGTCCTCTCCCGCCACCTTCTCTTTGTTCCACTCCCAGGCGATAGCGCAAAGGAGGACGGCTCGAAAAGGGCGGGTGGGCGTGAGGAAATTCCAAGCCGTGGCTGACGCCCACTGTCCGACGGTTTCGCGACCCAGCGGCGCCTTCCCTTCTCAAGTGCACCTTGGAAGCGCTTCGATGGCCGCTGTTCTTTCTCATCCCGATGCTTCTCCCTCTCCCCATGCCTCTGCCATCCTCATCCTCATCATCCTCCGCCTCATTCGCCTCCTCACCCTCCTTGCGCATCCGCCTCCCATCCCTCACTTCCACGTGATTATCATCCTCTTCCTCCTCCTCATCCTCCTCATCATCATCCGCAGTATCCCCATCCTATTCCGCCTCCTGCTCGTCCTCCTCCTCCTCCTCCTCCTCCTCCTCCTCCTCCTCCTCCTGATAATCATCATCATCATCGTCGTCATCATCATCATCATCATCATCATCATCATCATCATCATCATCACCCGCATCACCCGCATCACCCCACCACCACCACCACCATAATCACCATCGTCATCAGCATCAGCATCAGCAGCAGCATCAGTATCATCATCATCATCAGCATCATCATCATCATCAGCATCATCATCACCATCATCATCAGCAGCATCATCAGCATCGCCATCATTAGCATCACAAGCATCATCATCATAATCAGCATCATCATCAGCATCATCAGCAGCAGTATCATCATCATCATCATCAGCATCAGCATCAGCATCACGATCAGCATCAGCATCATCATCATGATCGGCATCATCATGATCAGCATCAGCATCATCATCAGCATCAGCACCATCGTCAGCATCATCAGCATCATCATGATCAGCATCATCAGCATCATCATCATCATCAGCATCATCATCGTCATCAGCATCAGCAGCATCAGCATCAGCATCAGCATCATCAGCATCACCAGCATCAGCAGAAGCATCAGCATCAGCAGCACTATCATCATCATCAGCAGCATCATCAGCATCACCAGCGTCATCATCAGCACCAGCAGCAGCATCATCAGCATCATCGTCATCATCAGCAGCAGCATCATAATCGGTATAATCATCATGAACAACGTCGGCATCAGCATCAACATCAGCATCATTATCACCAGCAGCATTAACATAAGAGCATCAGCAGCAGCCGCACCATCAACCGCATCATCAGCACAAGCAGTATCATCGTCATCATCATTACCAGCCATCATCATCAGCATCATCATCATCAACATCATCATCATCATCATCATCATCATCATCATCATCCTCATCATCATCAGCATCATCATCATCATCATCATCATCATCAGCAGCATGGTCATCATCATCAGCATCATGGTCATCATCATCAGCATCGTCAGCGCCATCGTTCGTCGTCGTCATCTGCATCACCATCATCATCATCATCATCGTCATCATCATCAGTATCACCGTCAGCCTCGGCAGCGACAGTATCATCATCATCAGCATCATCAGCATCAACATCATCACAAGCATCATCATCGCCATCATCACCGTCCACCCTCATCATTGTTTTAACAAGGCAGCGTAATCGTTCCTCTCCTCGCCATGCTGGAACTGATCATGCGTCCCTGCACCCCTGGTGCTCATCGTCCCCGCTGCCCGCATCCACACCACAAGCGTCACCGCTCAACGTCATCAGAATCACCAGGAGCAACAACCGCGACAGCATCTCCCCTCCGCACTCTCTCGCGAGTGGCTCGGCTGCCCCCGGGCCTGAGACCCAGGAGCCTGGCCCGGGCGAACGCGACCATGGGTTACGGACCCATGGATCTGGAGCGTGGGCGCGGGATCCACGGATCGCGAAGGCGCCGCCCAACGCATGGGGCCAAGGCCGCCTCTGGTGGCGACGGAGCGCGCCGATGCGGTGCGGAAGCGGAGCCCGTCGCCAACCACGAGGCCTTCGTCCATGGTTGCGCTCCCTCGGCCGTCCCTCACACCCTCCTCCATCCTCTCTCCTCTCCCCCCTCCCTCCTCCCTCCTCCATCCCGACGGCGACGACGACGACGACGACGACGACGACGACGACGACGACGACGACGGCGACCACGACGGCGACGACGACGACGACGACGACGGCGACGACGACAGCGGCGACGACGGCGTCGACGACGCTGGCGGCGACAACGACGACTGCGTCGACGACGTCGACGACGACGACGACGCTGAGGCGCGAGCTGATGACGGCGTTGTGGGCGGCGATGCCCGAGGGCGCCAGCTCGAACGCGGCCACGGCCAGCTCCCAGCGCCTCTGCCTCGAGGGGGGGGGGAGGAGGAGGGGAGGAGCAGGAGAGAAAGAGCGAGAGAGAGAGAGGAGAGAGATAGATAGAGAGAGAGAGAGGAAGAGAGAGAGAGAGAGGAAGAGAGAAAGAGAGAGAGGGAGAGAAAGAGATGAAGAGAGATGAAGAGAGAGAGAGAGACACACACACTAAGAGAGAAAAGAGAGGGAGGGAACGAGAGAGCAGGAGGGTAGGAAGAGGAGGAAGAGGAGGAGGAGAGGAAGGAGGAGAGGAAGGAGGAGGACGAGGAGGAGGAGGAGGAGGACACGCTGGGTGCGCTCGCGCCACATATGGCATCAGATGCCTCCCTCCCATCCCGGCCCATTGTGCAGATGCGTTCTCTATCCGCGGACGCGTGTCATAGCCGACCTGGAACTCCCACACAAGACTCCATCGATGCGCGTTCGCGAAAAAACCGCTTAGGAGGAGGAGGTGACGGGTGAGCAGGAGGAAGAGGAGGAGGAGAGGGAAAAGAAGGATGAGGAGGAGGAGGAGGAGGAGGAGGAGGAGGAGTAGGAGGAGGAGGCGAGGAGGCGAGGGTTGAAGGGGAGGGGAGGAGGGGAGGAGGGGAGGGGAAAGGGGACGGCAAGGGGAGGGGGAGGGGAGGGAGAGGAGCAGGGAGGAGGAGGGAGGCGGAGGAGGACGAGAGGGGCGGGAGCAGAAAGCCGCGGAGGACGGAAGCGGAGGAAGAGGAGGAGAGGAAAGGGAGGAAGGAAGAGCAACCGGGAGGAGCAGCAGGGAGGTGAGGGCAAGGGCGGAAGGACGAGGGGTAAGGGGCAACGTAGGCGCGCTCGCACCATATCTGACATCCCACACTTCCCACCCACCCCTTCCCGTTGCGCTGAGTTCGTTTCTATCCGCCGGCTTGGGTGTCCCAGGTGAGTTTGGTCCGCAGAGTGGCACCATCACGCAATGCACAATCAGACAGGGGGGTGCAGTGAAGGAGGATGAGGATAAGGTGGAATAAGAAGAAGAAGAAGAAGAGGAAGAAGAGGAACAAGGGAACAAAAAGAAGAAGAGAAGAGGATGAATAAAAAAAAACAAAGAATAAAAATAAGAAGAAGAAGAAGAAGAAGACGAAGAGGTGACGGATGAGCACGAGGACGAGCACGAAGAAGAAGGATCAGCAGCAGGAGGAGCAGGAGGAGCACGAGGACCAGGAGAGCCACGCGAAGGCGGAGGGAAAACGAGAAACACGGGGCTAAAACAACAACGACGAAAAACGGGGCAAGGGATGAAGGAGAACCAAGATAAAAAGATGGGAACGGCAACGACGACGAACGAATCGGATCAGGCAGTGTGGCCAGTGCTGGGGCGAGAGTGCAAAACTGAAGACAGGAGCGAAGCGCCGATCCTGAAATGCGGCCATCGCTGCAGCGGGAGCAACATGTTTGAAGGAGCGAGAACGCTCGCATGTAAAAAACAGATCGGAAGCCAGCTCAGGACAATCCTGCGTAGAAAAAGCACATGCAAAATAAGCGGAATCAAAAAGGCAGCGTCGGGGGAGAGAAGATACTAATACCTAGATTATGCAGTAGTGGAAGATGGAAGGAGGAAAGGGGCGTGGGAGGGAAGGGAGGAGGGGCGGGGGAGGGAGGAGCGAGGAGAGAAGGGAGATGGAGGGAGGAGGGAGGAGGGAGGAGCGAGGAGGGGAGGGGGGGAGGGAGCAGGAAAGCAGAGGAGGAGGAAGAAGAGGAGAAGGTGGAGGAGGAGCAACGGGAGGGAGGAGAAGCAGCGGGGAGGAGGAGCAGGGTGGTGGGAGGATGGCGGAGGGACGAGGGGGAAGGAGCTGAGCGAGGGAGGAGGGAGGCGGAGCGCAGCGCAAAGGCGAGGCTCTGGCTCCGGTGGCGCACGGGGCACCGCGAGACGATGTGGCCCTGAGAGCCGCGCCACAGGCGAGGCTCAGCAACGAACAACAACAAACAACAAAGATGACAACAACAACAAGAACAACAAGAACAACAACAACAACAACAACAACAACAACAACAACAACAACAACAACAACAACGACAACGACGACGACGACGACGACGACGACGACGACGACGACGACGACAAGGACAACGACAACGACAACGACAAGAACAACGACAACGACAACGACAACGACAACGACAGCGACGACGACGACGACAACAACAACGGCAACAACAACAACAACAACGACAAGGACAAGAACAAGGACAACGACAACGACAAGAACAACGACAACGACAACGACAACGACAATGACAACGGCAGCGACAACGACAACCCCAACAACAGCAACAACAACTACAACCACGACAACAACCACAACAACAGCAACAGCAACAACAACAGCAGCAACAACCACAGCAGCAACAAGGCAAAAAAGAAAACACTGCTGCACTGGGCCCTGGTGCGCCTGGTCCTGGTTTCGCTCCTAGAGGCGAAAACGAGCAATGGCGCACCGTCGCGCATGCCCCCCACCACCCAGCAACGGCGCAACGGCGCAACGCGCCTCCAGCGCAGGGCAACGACACCCAACGCGCGCCTTACCCGTATTCCTGGTACAAATGTATGTGCTCCTACCTGCCACCTAGCCGGCCGATAGCAACCCAAGGAGGAGGAGGAGCAGGAGGAGGAGGAGGGTCGCGCGCAGAGCCTCTGAGCTGGCCACCCAGGGCGCTGGACTACGCCCAAACCGAGTGGTGCGTGAGACGTTTGCGCGAGACGGCGTGGGGTCATCGCCAAGCGTGCCGAGTGTGGCGCTCCCGCCTCGGCGCGGCGCAGAGCTCTCACTCGCCAGGTCGTGGGGGGCCGGGGCGCGCGCGAGAGGGCGACCTCTCGCCCGCTCGCTCTCTGCTTCTTCTTGTGCCTGCGTCGATGCTACAAAGGGTGAGTGCACCGGCCATGCAAGATTGCTTGTATGTGCACACCCACCGCTTCTGATGCACACACATACACAGATGCGACATACACGTGTGTAAAAACAGGCCTGTAGATGTGTACATGTACGAATGTGCATACACCTCTGTGCTAATGGATACAAGCCATTTTTTACACTACACCTTCATGCCTAGTTGTTTAACCAAACAATGAGAGCAATAGCAACGCCAAAACCAGAAGCTAGCAAACACACAACAAAGAAACGTGCTACCCAGTAACACAAGCACTACAGCATCGACGCCGACGCCGACGCCGACGAAGACAACGACGACGGCGACGGCGACGGCGACAGCGACAGCAACAACAACAAGAAGAACAACAAGAACAATCGTTTTAAGACTGCTCTCTCCTATCTGCTCACGTGCCAATCAAGACGTATATCCCAAGCCCTCGGTACCCGCCCGCGTCGTCTTCGATCGCAACCCCCTTGGGGGTACATCTTCCTTACCTGCCACGCGCATTTAGCGCAGCCCCTGAGGCAAGGGAAGAGAAGACGGGTGGAAGGGGGAGGGAGAAGAATGGAGCACGAGAGAAATTAGCAGGAGGGGGGCAAGGAGCAGAAAACAAGTGGTAGAGCCAGACGGGCAGATCGGGTGGGCAGACCCATAGCGGGCAGGTCAGGAAGGCGGGCCCAGGCGACCAGGTCGAGCAGGCGGGTTGCTGAAGCGTGGGTCCTGCATGAATCGCGAGAAAGTCTCGAGCGATAGCGCGACTCCAAGTAAATCGTGAGAAAAGCCAAGCCGAGAGCGTGATTCATGAGCGCTGAGGGAGCGTCGTCTGAATAAACTCCGAGGACATCCCACGCGAGAGCGCGATTCGTATACAAAATGTGAGAAAATCCCGAGCGCAAGCGCGATTTGGGAACAATGTGTGAGGAAGTATCAGGTGGGAGCCGTTGTTGTTGTTGTTGTTGTAAACCACGGGCCAACAGCACAGCTTGAGCCCCGTAAGTTTTCCGGATCAAAAACAAGGGTGCGAGCCCAGGGGGGAAGTACTTCAATTGAAAAATACAAGGGTCACCGGAGGGGGGGATCAACAACAAATATTCTTCAGCAGTGAGAACCCAACAACAACAACAAGAACAATAACAACGGCAACGATAAAAACAACAACAACAACAACAACAACAACAACAACAACAACAACAACAACAACAACAGCAACAGAAACAGTAACGACAATAACAACAACAACAACAACAACAACAACAACAACAACAACAACAACAACAGCAACAATCATGATAAAACTGTTCGCTCTCATTGGCTCGCGTGCCATTCAACGCGTATATCCCAAGCCCTCGATACCCGCTCTCTTCGACTTCGATCGTACCCCAGTTGGGGGTACATAGTTATCTTGCTTCCCTGCAACGTCGTGCAGCCCCTGAGGAAAGGGAAGAGAGGACGGATGGAAGGAAGGGACACGGGGGAGGGAGAAGGATGGAGCACGAGAGAGAGTAGCAGGATAGGGGGGCTAGGAGCAGAAAACATCTGGCAGAACCATACGGGCAAATCGGGCGGGTGGGTCCGCACTAGCAAGTCGGGAAGGCGGGCCCAGGCAGCCAGGTCGAGCAGGCGGGTTGCTGAAGCGTGCGTCCTGCATAAATCGCGAAGAAGTCTCGCGCAATAGCGCGACTCCCATATAAATCGTACGGAAATCCACACCGAGAGCGTGATTCCTGAGTGTCGAAGGCGCGGCGTCTGCAAAAATTGCAAGGAAATACCACGCGAGAGCGCGATCCCTGCGTAAATTGTGAGGACGTGCCGCGCGAGAACGCGATTTGGGAATACACTGAAAGAAAATATCAGGCGGGAGCCGCTGTTGTTTTAAACCAGGAGGCCAACAAGCCACTTTGGTGACACCTCGCTTCCCCTTGTAAAAAACAGTGTGCGAGCCCCGGGAAAAGCACTGTAGTTGAAAGAATACAGTGGTTACCGGGGAGGGAGAATCAACAACCATGGTTCTTCAGAGAAGAGAATAACAATAGCAACAACAACAACAACGGCAGCAGCAAAAACAACGGCAGCAGCAGCACCATCAGCAACAACAGCAACAGCAGCAGC